ACACACACACACACCCTCCTATAGGTTCTATTTCTCTGGAGAACCCCAACGAATACATCTACTCCACACCAGACATTCTGTCCCAGTGCCGAGACCATAACAGGCAAACACAGCATGGGCTGTTATGGAGTGTGCCATACAGGACTCGGTTTGCCTGGACTAGGCCGTGGATGGTGAGAGGTGCAGATGAGGGGTAGGTAGGGGCCAGATCGAGAGGGGCCTTGCAGGCCATGGACAGAAGCCTGGATTTTATTCTGTAGACCAGTGCTTTCCACACTTCAGGACCCTCATGATTTTTGCCGGGTCCACATTTCAATTGCATTATTTGTTTGATGCATTAAAAAAAAAAAAAAATCAATTTTATGCCCATTTGAAAAAAATGCTTTAGGCCATTAATACCTACGAAAACGTGTTTTTTCCCCCTCATTACACATGAAAATAAATGTAAAATCATTACAATAAAAAATACTGGCCATATACTACTTAAAATGATTTCAGGTATTTGTTCTACATTTTGGGAAAAGTTGCCATGAATGATGGGGGCAGGGGTGGATATTAGGGGTTTTATGAAGGACAGGACACTTTGAGATTTATGTTTTAGAAAGAGTCACTCTGGCTCTTGGGCAGAGTAGGATGGCAGAAAATGGACTGGAAGACAGGGAGACCAGCTAGGGGCTGTTTCAGTTGTCCCAGACAGAGTCTGACCCAAGGGTATGCAGTGGAGTAGAGAGGAAGGGAAAAATATGAGGGGCATTCAGAGGTGAAATTTGATAGGACTTAGAAACCAGTGGCATGAGGCCCAGCGTGGTGGCTCATGCCTATAATCCTAGCACTTTGGGAGGCTGAGGTGGGCGGATCACCTGAGGTTGGGAGTTCGAGACCAGCCTGACCCAACATAGAGAAACCCCATCTCTACTAAAAATACAAAATTAGCCAGGTGTGGTGGCGTGCGCCTATAATCCCAGCTACTAAGGAGAATCACTTAAACCCAGGAGTGGGAGGTTGTGGTGAGCTGAGATTGCGTCATTGCACTCTAGCCTGGGCAACAAGAGCGAAACTCCATCTCAAAAAAAAAAAAAAAAAAAAAAGAAAAGAAAAGAAAGAAACCAGTGGCACGGGGATTGAAGAGGAGGAGGAACCTGGGTTGACTGATGATTTTGGTTTGGTTGTCTGGGAAGATGGAGCAGCCATCACAGAGGCAGGGAGCCAGGGTGCAGAGGCCAAGATCAAGTCCAAAGGGCAGGGCAAGGGAGGTAAGTGTTGCCAGGCCCAGAGGCTTAGACTGCAGTTTTAGCAATGATGCTATGAGGTTCATTGCCCCTTAAATAATAGCAAACCCACGCTTTAAATCAAATTAAAACATTTTAGTTTAGCTCTTCTAAGTGGACCCACACATGTATTCTCTACTAGTTATTACTGAGAATGACTAAGTATTATAATTGAGCTGAAAATAATCTGCCGCCCATACTTGCTGGGTTGGTTACTAAGTATTGCTTGAGTTTTTAAGTAATGAAACAAAGTTGTGCTCTTTCCAAATGTTAATTTTGAGGACTGCAGATGGTAACCATCTGTTCCGCGACTAGCATTTTACAATATTTGATTACTACTTTATATAGTTTGGGGAAGCCTGCCAGTGGAGTCTACCCATCAGGTTGGGGACTTTGGTGGTATGTCTCCTGTGGTTGCCCCTCATGGTCTTGGTCACCCTGGAACGGGTTCCCCTCTGATTTCTGGGTGGTGAGTCAGACTGGCACGGTCATGATTGATAGCAGGAGGAACTTGAGAAGCCCTGTCTTGTCTGACTCTTCCTTACAGCCTGGAATCATCAGAGGGCATCATGGAAGAATTTGTGAGGTCAGGGTCTGTCCATCAGTTAGAAGTTTTGGGTTACCAGTGACAAAACAATGAACCCCAGCTGCTTTGGTGAAAGGGGATTAATTGGCTCAGATCACTGAGAAGTCTAGGGGAAGGACTTCCTTCAGGTAGATGGTTTCAGGGCCAAAATGAATTCTTTTTTTTTTTTTTTTTGAGTCAGAGTCTCACTTTGTATCATCCAGGCTGAGTGCCATGGTATGATCACAGCTCACTGCAGCCTTGACTGCCGAAGCTCAAGGGATCCTCCCATCACAGCCTCTTGAGTAGCTGGGACTACAGGCGTGTGCCACCATGCCCAGTTAGTTTTTTATTTTTTGTAGAGACAGGGTCTGCCTATGTTACTCAGGTTGGTCTCAAACTCCTGGCTTCAAGCAGTCCACCCATCTCAGCCTCCCAAAGTGCCGGGATTACAGGCGTGAGCCACCACCCCTGGCCCAAATAAATTCTTTGGGCTTGTTTTTATCTCAGGGTCTCAGTTCTGCCTTCTGCTATGTGAGTGTAGTCTCAGGCTTCTCGAGGAGGCAGGATGGCTTCACTGAGAGAGGATCAAATCCTGCCAGCATCAAGTTTAGTGGGAAGGAGCTAGAGTCCTTTCACGCCACTTCTGCAAAAGTGTTGCGATGCACTGTGATTGGACTAGCTTTTGTCACATGCCCGTGTGTGAGCCAGTCCTTATACCCACGTGGATGCAGGGCTCTGATAGTCCCACTCAGACCTTCTGGGCTGAGGCCTGGGGAGGGGTGCACCCCAGATCACACACTGGGGCTACTAGAAGGGAGACTGGATGGTGGGGGTCAGACAACCACCTGTCTACTCCAGCATCAGAGCAAGAGCCCAGGGAACCAGGAGGAATTGGCTAACGTAGCTGAAGAGACACATTTATTGTTGCCGAGGAGATAATGGGATGTAAATGGAATGAAGGAGCCTCCGGAACCAGCTACTTCCTAAGCTTCCCTCCTTAGTTTAAGGGCATCTGATGGATTTAGTTTCTGGTTCTTTTTGCGAGGTGAGGGGAGGGTTTGTTTGTTTTTTTTTTTCCTTATATGTTTCTTTAAAACTAAGGCCAGTCACTAGATCTCTTTTAGCTCCTTTATCTGGAACATAGAGGGTGTCTCTCTGTACAGAGGAGACAGTAGCTTCATTCTGTTTAGTTAACAGTGAGTGAAGCCCGCTGTGGGCCAGGCGCTTAGCCCAGGGAGAGCCACAGGCAAGGTAGCAGATGAGTCCCTGGCAGCACCATGAGGGGGCACTGCAGCCCCACAGAGGACAGGGTGAGTGCCTCTGTCTCCAGAGAGGGACGGTGGGTAAGGGCTTCCAGGAGGAAGGACACTGAGCTGAGCCTGGAAGGATGAACAAGGTTCCTCACATGGAGAAGACGGGAAGGAGTCCATGGCCAGGGAACTGCATGTGCACCAAAAGGCACCACATTTGGTGGTTTGAGGGGTCTGGGAACAGTTCATGAGACTGACTGGGATGTGCCCAGGACACTGATTCCAGAGCTCACATGGTACGGGGTGGAGGAGACTGGAGTGACAAGCCAGGTACTGGGACACCAGGCAGATGCTGTGGCAGAGGTTCAGGCAGGAGCCTGATAAAAGCTTTGCAAGCCCATATATTCTAGAACCTACCATTTAAAACAATCTATACTCTCATAGTTCCCTTAAAAAAGAAGAGGTTAGGCTAGAGTTGTGCGTTTTTTAGAGAGAGAGTGTTAATACAGAGAAGAATATGGGTTCTGCAGACACAAAAGAGAGCTTGCTGTGTAATTCCATTTATACAAAACTCTGGAAAATGCATCGGTTGCCTGGGGATGGGGACGTAGGGAGGGCGGGAGGGATGGATTACAAAGGGTATGAGGTAAATTTTGGGAATGATAGATATGTTCATTCTCTTGATTATGGCGGTGATTTCTCTGGTGTGTACCTGTGGCAGCACTTATCAAATTACATACTTTAAGTATATGAAGTTGGTTATATGTCAACTATACCTTTTTTTTTTTTTTTTAAAAAGAAGGCACTGAAACCAGACTGCCAGAGTTCAAATCCAAGCTCCAGCTTTATCAGCTGTGTGATCTTGGGCAAGTTATCAGACCTCTCTGTGACTGTGTTCATTAATCACATGTGAAGTGAATAGAGACAAACAAGTGCTCATTGTGATTCTGGTTTTTTTTTTTTTTGAGATGGATTCTTGCTTTGTCACCCAGGCTGGAGTGCAGTGGTACTATCTCGGCTCACTGCCATTTCCACTTCTGGGGTTTAAGTGATCCTCCTGCCTCAGCCTCCCAAGTAGCTGGGATTACAGGCATGTACCACTAAGCCTGGCTGATTTTTGTATTTTTAGTGGAGACGGGGTTTCACCATGTTGGCCAGGCTGGTCTCGAACTCCTGACCTTAAGTAATCTGCCCAACTTACAGGTGTGAGCCACCACACCCAGCCCATTGTGATTTTTATGATAACTCATAGCAAAATGAAATCATGTGCCCACGCTGTGGTGACTCTGTCCAGCGTCTTCTCTGTGCAGCGTCCCCTAGATTCATGTTTCTCAGACTTTAAAGTGTGCATACAAATCTCCTGGCATCCTTGTTAAAATGCAGGTTTGATCTGGTGGGTGTGAGGTGGGGCCTGAGACTGCATTTCTGTTGATCTCCCGGTGCTGTGGGTTTTGCTGGCTCAGGAGCACACTTTGAGTTTTGAAGCTCAGGCCTGTAGGCATTCTCCCCTCTGTGGCTTGGTGCCCTCACCAGACCAGGACTGATGTCGGAGCTGGTTTCCTAGTGATTTTCCTAGTGATTGCCCCTCAGGGTCTTCCTGCTTATCTACCCTACCCTGCCTGTGAGGGACACCTACTCACGCACCATCTGAAGTTGAGTTCCAGAAAGAAGACGCCAGGGCTGAGGCTGTACATCTCCCTCCACACTCACCCTTGGTCTTGCGGGCCTGCTCTGGGCTAGAGCTTCTGTAGGACTGAATGCCCAGCCCACCGCAAGGCGCAGGCTCCATGGAATGGGACAGGAGGGGCCACTGTACTGCACCAAGGCTGCTTCCCAGAGTACTGGGACCTGGGGGTCAGGGCTAAGTATAGAACTTGGCTTGATGCCCTAGAAGTGATGCTCCTTGTTTTCCAGGGACAGAAGGTCTCACGGATGGCCCCGCTGCCAGGGGCAGAACTGGTTCAGAGGCCACTGCAGCTCTACCGATACTTGCTGCGCTGTTGCCAGCAGCTGCCGACCAAGGGCATCCAGCAGCATTACAAGCATGCTGTCAGGCAGGTGGGAGCTGGGTCCACCAGGTCTGGGGGCTGCCTCTAATGGCAGGCTTGGGGGTGTGGGTCAGAGGTCAAGGCCAGGGCACAGAGCTAGTCTCTGAGATGGTGGTGAGGTGGCAGTGTGGTAAGAGCCACAGGAAACCAGTGCTGGGCAGCCCAGCTCCTCTCTGTCGAGGAAACACAGGGTGCATCAGCCAGCATACCAGCTGTGCTAGGGCACGTATGAGGCAGCTAAGTGGGTAATTAAAATAGACTGTGGGGCACGACATCATTTAGGCAGGCATCCCTGCCAACAGTGTACAACTTGAATTTAATCCTGAGAAAACATCAGGTAAACCCAAATTGAGAGGTCATCTACCACACAACTAATAGGCCTGTGCTCATCAAAAATGTCAGTGTCGTGAAACACAAAGAAAGGCAGAACTGTTCTGGATTAGAGAACTCAAGAGATATGGTGACTAAATGTAATGTATGATCCTAGACCAGAAAAAAATTGCTGTAAAGAATATTACTGGGAGCCAGGCATGATGGCTCATGCCTGTAATCCCAGCATTTTGGGAGGCTAAGGCAGGCAGATTGTTTGAGCTCAGGAGTTCAAGACCAACCTGGTCTTTTCTACAGAAAAATCAAACAATGAGTTGGGAGGATTGCTTGAACCCAGGAGGTCGAGGCTGCAATGAGCTGTGATTGTGCCACTGCATTCTCACCTGGGTGACAGAGTGAGAACCTGCCTAAAAACAAAACAAAACAAAACAAAACAAAACACTGTTACTGGTGCAGTGTATGAAATTGGAATGTGGGCTATAGATTATAGTGTTGTTTCAATGTTGAGTCTTCTGCATTTGATTATTGTGGTTATGTCAGAGAATGCCCTTGTCATTAGGAAATACACATGGGAATGTTTAGGGGTAAGGACGGGGTGTCTGTAACTTATTCTTAAATGCTTCTGAAAAGACTTATACATACTTATATAAAGAGAATGATAAAGCAAGTGTAGCAAAATGTTAACAATCAGTGATTCTGATAGAAAATTATTTGTATTATTATCACAGCTTTCTGTAAGTGAGAAATCATTTCCAAATAGAAAGTTAGCTAAAATTCATACAAATATAATATGGAAAGTTAAAAAAAAAAAAGAGGTGGCAGTAGCCACAGAGGGCTGTGGAGACGTGGAGAAGGGAGCAGTTAGCTGTCTGGGGAGTCAAGGAGGGCGTCCCAGAGGTGGATGCTGAGGGGGCTCCTAAAGATGAGCAGGGGGATGTGTGGGGCTGGGAATGACGGGGAGGGAAAGAGGCCAGTTCTGTTTCTTTTTGAGATGGAGTTTCACTCTGCACACAGGCTGGAGTGCAACGGTGCAATCTCGGCTCACCACAACCGCCGTCTCGTGGTTCAAGGGATTCTCCTCCCTTAGCCTCCTGAGTAGCTGGGATTATAGGCATGCGCCATCACACCCAGCTAACTTTGTATTTTTAGTAGAGATGGGATTTATCTATGTTGTCAGGCTGGTCTCGGGCTCCAGACCTGAGGTGATCTGCCTACCTTGGCCTCCCAAAGTGCTGTGATTACAAGCGTGAGCCACCACGTGTGGCGCCAGTTCTTTTTGGAAAGCAAAACCTGAATCTTAGATTGCTTCTCAAGGGTGAACATCTGGTCAAAAGCAAACAGCATCCCATGCTCTGCATTGGGCCTGGGTGGATTTCCTGAAACTACTCTGTCTACTGCCTCCCCTTCCTTCCCTGTGTGGCTTTCCTAGCACTGGGCTGAGAGAAGCCCTACTTCTTCCTCCCTGCTCTGAAACCTATGCAGAGATCTCACCCTGGGGAAAACAGCTTCTTCTGAGGAACAGAGATGGAAGTTTCCCCTTGGCCTCCACTGCCTGATAGCTTTTGGGCTCAGCTTGATTTAGGGGTAACTTGGGGGCCAGTCTTTGCACCCACTCTGGTGGCTTTGCAGTCACATAGACTAAGATTCAAATGCTATTGTTCAGCAGCCAAGGGGGGATTTCTGAGCCTCTGTTTCCTCATCTCTGTATGGGATAATCATAACTGTCTATGGGGGATGAAGAGAGCTACTGGGTATACAGTGTCCAGCAGTGTCCCTGGCCTGTAACTGGTGCTCTGAAGCTGTCGGTCCTGGGAATTTTGCCTAGTCATCTTTCCTTATGCTTAAACTTGCAGAGTTTTCGGGTTCATTCAGATGAAGACAACCCTGAGAGAATCCAGCAGATTATTAAAAGGGCCATTGAAGATGCTGACTGGATCATGAACAAAGTAGGTGCTTGGCCCCCGGGCTCTGCCTGCGAGCTGGGGTGATGATGGCTGTGATCCCCATGACCACTAGAGGCCACTCCTGCCCCACAGTTGAGAATGGTCCCTGTGGAGGAGGCCACCAGCCAGCTGCTTCCCTCCTCCGGAAGCTAAAAGGTGAAGGCAGATCCCTTCTGGTTGCAAGTGGGGAGGGGCTCTTACTCTTCGTCCTTAAAGGCAAATTTCTGCCCAACAGTGCTGATGGAGTTGAGAGGGTCAGTAGGAAGAAGGAGGGGAAGCTATAGTGCCAGAGCCGGAAGTGGCGCTGTGACGCCGCAGACAGGAAAGCTGTCCTGGGGAGGGACTCCCTGTCTGGGGGGCGTATTCACACTGGGGCAGAATTATGGAGGAAACATTCAGTATGTTTTGGTGGAGGAAGGGAGGGAGTCAGGAATGTTGACTGGCTTCTTGGCCCTTAGATGCTGGTATTAGGAGGCCCTAGAGAGTTGGAGTGTGCCCCTACCTCCCTGTCCTTCTAACTCACTCTCCAGATATGGGACCCAGCGTCCATTTTAAAAAACCCAGTGATTATAGCAACTGGCTTCCAAGGGTCCTCCTCCACCTGGGATTTTTTTTCCCCCCTGAAACAAGACTCAGAGAGGACAGGCACCCCAGTTTCCTTATTATCCTCCCTCCCCACCCCGTCAGCTTCCTTTTTCATTAAAGAAGAAAGGGAGTCCAGGCATGAACTAGAGATTTGGCTGCCCAGGGCCTCTTGCCTGGGTTTCACCACCTCCAAGAAGCCCCTGCAGGAGGCAGGTGAGGTCCAGATGATGGAGGCTTGAGATTTCCCCAGAGTCCTCCTGCCCCTGTTGGCTTCCCTCCTCCACTTCAAATCTCTCTGTCTTGCAGTATAAAAAACAAAACTGAGAGCCCGGAGAGTGAGCCTTCCTGGCCTCTGGAAGTTGAGAGGCGCCTCTTCTGGAGCTCAACAGCAGCAGCAGGTTTGGAAGATCCATTGGCCTTGTTGGCTGAAAGCTAGAAATCAGGGGAGAAGCTGACCTTGCTTCGGAGGCTCCTCTTGCCGCCGCCATGTTGCCAGCATCCTTTATGTTTGCACTTCCAGCCGCTTACGATGTGAAATTTGGGGAGAATGTGGTATTTTTTTGTTTCTTTTGTGTATTTTTTATTTTTGTGTTTTTGTTCTTTTACTTTTCTCTGAAAGTGATTCATTTATTCTGGAGATCTCTTTATCATTCTCTGAGTCCCAGAGCAGATGTCCCCTCAGGTAGCAACCTGTACAGAAGAAAGCGCGTGGGTTTTAGAAGCAGACAGATCTGGATTTGAATCCCAGATTCAGTAAGATGAAGGTGAAGTGCCTCACACAGGATGTGGCACATGACAGTGCCTGAAGGGCTCCCTCCAAGGAAGCCATCCTGCCCCACCCCCTCCTCTTTTCCTGCAGTGTCCTGCACAGCTCTGCTCCAGTACACACCGCGTCGGGTCTCAGTTATTTGTTTGCGAGGTTGCCCTGTCCCTGCTTGTAGCCCCTGAGCCCTCACAGTTGTCACACACCCAGCAGTCTGCCAAAGAGCTGCCTTTCCTGACCACTGTCTCTCTATGCCCAGGGAAGTCAAAGCCCTGGGCCTTGCCTTCAGGGAGTTGACAGTGTCCGTGAAGTGGTGAAGTGCTCACCACATGAACCAAGGAGAGACACCAAAGCAGCTGCGGTGGACTCTGGCCTGTCCAAGCCTCTGCGCACCTGCAATCTGTTTCCACTGGCCCTTCCCTGCTTTGCCACCATTGTGGAAGAATAGAAGGGAGGGGGAGAAGGTGGGTGGGCTCAGGGAGAATGACCAGAGTGGCCAGAAGATGCAGAGATAAGTCCCACTGGGATTTGAGTATTCCCTAAGGGCACTCAGTCACAGGGATGAAGTAGTGTGTGTTTGTATCCTTGTAATCATGTGAGTTAAAATGACTCAGAGATATTTATGTGTGCGTGTGTACTCCGCTGACAATGAAGTAAATATATCAATTTGTGGAAGCTCGTGTGTCTTCTCAACTGGTAAACCTTACATTCCCTAAGCATACGTTGTCCCCCTCCTGAGTGTCATCCACTCTTGAGAACCTACAGTCAAGTCAGACAAAGCTGCCCAGGAGGGGTCATTCTTCAGAGAAGGTGACTGGGACTGGCCCCACTGCTAGACAACAGTTGATGAGGTCACATCTGCCCCACTAGGCTATGAGCAAGCTGAGGGGTTTCAGGCTAGGGCCAAAGCTGAGCCAGGCCCCTGTCCGCACCCCATCATTGAGCTGGGGGCCCCTTCTCAGGTGGCAGGGCTGTATTGTAATCATAGGAGTGGGGGCAGCTGTATCCCAGATGTTTTCCCAGCAGGAGAGAAATGAGTGAAGGCTGACAAAGGTTTGGGATAGAGTTAGTGTCACTTGCTCTTGACCAACTCCTGGAGTGGTTCTGTGACCTGTGGTTCCTGGGTAGGTCCTTGGTCCAGCTGTGCTGACTCGCCATGTGTCAGACGGTGGGTGCCCAGCTCCAGCATGCGGCTGGCCTGTGAGGGAGCCAGCAAGGGGTGGGGTGGGTGCACGGTGTGTTGGTTGCTCTCCCCCAGCCCCTGTGCTGCCACTGAGGGTAGTGAGCCCGGTCGTGCAGGGGCCCACGGTAGGGGAGGCAGGATGCATGTGGCACTGTGCACACAGGGGCGCTGTTGAAGCCTGGGAGAGCCTCCCATCCTCAGCAGCAGCCTTGCCTTCCAGCCTGCCCTCTGACTTTCACTACTCCCAGCCCTGTGTGGACCGTGGGGATGGGTCCTTCATTTCTCCTCTCAATTCTCAAATGCCCAGAGTTGAAGGTTTCCAGAGTAGCCTCCAAGCAAATGGAAGAAGGAGATGAAGGTTTGACCCAGAGTCAGCCAGTGTGGCCTGCTGGAAGGGGCTCTGGAGATACACACACCTGAATTTGAATCCCAGTCTGTCACTTAGTGGTGGTGTGATTTGGGGCAGATTTGTTAACCTGTCAGGCTCACCTTTTTCCACTGCTACAGGTTGCACATCCCACGGGGTGGTGAGATTATGGCAGTGCACACAGATGGGCTGTCAGCCATGTGGCTTCCATCTCTTGTCTTTGGTTTACCTGGTGACGATACTTCTCTCCTTTTCTTTTCTTTTCTTTTTTTTTTGAGATGGGGTTTTACACTGTTGCCCAGACTAGAGTGCAGTGGCACAATCTCAGCTCACTGCAACCTCTGCCTCCCGGGTTCAAGTGATTCTCCTGCCTCAGCCTCCTGAGAAGCTGGGATTATAGACGCCCGCCACCACACCCAGCTAATTTTTGTATTTTTAGTAGAGTTGGGGTTTCACCATGCTGGCCAGGCTGGACTTGAACTCCTGACTTCAAGTGATCTGCCTGCCTCGGCCTCCCAAAGTGCTGGGATTACAGGTGTGAACCACCGTGTCCAGCCTATGCTTCTCTTTAAGTGGGTCCTTACGGCTCTCCCTGGTGTCCACTGCACAAGCAAAGTGTCAGCAGGAAAGCATCTGACACATGTTGTCCACACTTAGATACTCCTTTGGATTCACATTGCCTTTCTGGGGTGCATTTGCATTATAAAGTTTCTGGGTTTAACTGTGTAGCGAAAGACAGATGTTAAAACCCACAAGGGCCTCCTTTGTAAGACCCTGCATATCTGAGGCTGACTCCTGCGGCAGTGCTAGCCTTGAGTCCTACACGAGCACATGATGCCTGGGGCAGAGCCTGTCCTGCACTGTGCAGTTCCATTTCTCGCCCGTGTGCCCACCCCGTCTTCACTGAACATTTTCTGCACAGTCTTCCCTCCACGCAGGAAGGGACTCACAGTCTAAGGGAAAGACAGGCGTGGGTTGCCTGGAGGTTGCGCAATTGTGGCTCATAGCATGTGATCATAACATAGATTTATCTTTTTCTCTCACAATTCCTTTGTATATTTTTTCTGGAGGTTCCTGTTCTCCCTGTCCCTGGATGAAAACTGAGACAAAGTCTCAAACATTCTTGGCTGGACTCAAATTTTAAAAACCCAAAGCTATGGCTACTTTTTATTTATTTATTTTTTATTATTATTATACTTTAAGTTCTAGGGTACATGTGCATAACGTGCAGGTTTGTTACATATGTATACTTGTGCCATGTTGCTGTGCTGCACCCATCA